CTTAAAAAACGGTGTTTTGTTTTAATACGTTGTAAAAAAACACATTTTTAGAAATTTTATACATAATAATAATAATAATAATAAGTCTTTATTTATTATTGACCCCAAAATTCAGTTTTAAAAATATTTTATTGAATACACCTTCCTTACATTATGTTTTCAGTAATTTTTAGAAAATTAAAAAAAAAATATTGTGGAAAAAAATCGTTCGTTAGTTATTATTATTTTAATATTTCAATAACGGTTTGCCCGAGCGTTTTTTCAAAAATTAAATTTAAGCATATCTATTAAAGTAATAAGATTACTTTTACCTTTTTGATTTTAATAAATTAGTTTCATACAAAAAAACGCTCAGGCAATTTTAATGCATATCGCATTATTGATCGGTTACCAAATACGCATACAGGATGTTTAAATAGGAACGTTGTTTTGAGAAAAACGTGCTCAATGTTTCACAGCTGCATATAAATGGTAGCCCTACAGTTATTATGGATTTGAAATTTTTACAGAATACTCTTAATAGTTATTTAACTAGTGCGGAAATAGTTATTTATGTCATTAGGTTAAGAAGTAAGGTTTTTTGTGCTAAGCTCAAGGTACAATTGAGCGAAGCACAAAAAGGCACTTCTTGGCCGAATGGCATACAACATTTTATCTTCAAAGCACTTTATATAGGTCAATTTAATTCAACATCAAAGCAGCCTAACCTCACTTTTTTAGAATCTCATTTATTTTATTTATTTTTTTATTTATTTATTTATTAGCTAAAAATTACATTAATTGTACAATAATTATTATTGCTTTTAGAAGCAGTAATAGTTTGACAATACCTAGCAACATGATTGAAGTAGAAATGGATTTTTGCTATTACATTGAATTCAATTAATTGTTTAATAAATACCTAGGTAGGTGTCTAATTTCAATTTGTTTAGATTTTTATTTAAAAAATAGGTAATTTGGAATGTTAAAGCTGTGTTTAACATTTAATTTCACTGAAAACTTAAAGCAAATTAAAACTTAAAGATAATTTAAATCGTAGAAAAAGAATCGTGCATTTTCATGGTTGCCTAACCTCACTTTTTGTTTTATTATTCATATTTAATATTACAATAATTTAATGAAAAATATTAAAATTAACAGTAAAACAAACAAATTAGTGCTTATTATAAATAAATTAAACCAGTTTAGTACGTTAATTTCTTAGAAAAGGATTAATTTGTCAAAACAATACCCCTAGCGAGAAAAAATCGAACTAATCACTTGCGTCATAAAATTTTTTATCGGCCTAGGCCATAACAAGGTATTTCTTTATCGAATGTTGACAACAATAAAGTTTAAATTATAGACCGCGTGGAGATAAATAATATTATTTACTCCATTATAATATTGTATTCGATTTTTTGAAAATTCTAAGCCCTTAAAGGGTAACCGAAGAATTAAATTAAATTAGTTAGATTTTTTTTAACAAAAATAACAAACAAATTATAAAAAAACACACAAAACAAACTTGTTGTTTCGAGGTTATGACAATGACAATTAGGTTCAGGTTTTTCATTAGTTCGCTTCAATACACAAGAGTATTCGATGCGCATCCACTCCAATAAGTCAATGATACTACGAAGGACATGAAGAAGAATTTAAATCCAATTTTAATTGTTTATTATTTGACATTTGGCGAATTTTACCTCACTTTTTGGAAATTTATAATAAAGGTTACTAAAATACTCCAAAGCCACTATTGCTAAATTCATCCCGTAACTAAAACCTCTCTAAAATCTCATTATTGTATTGAGAAAATAAACTTACTATTGTACTAATAAAATAATGCATAACTTCTAAGGGCTGCGTATAATAATATTGATATTATATTATGTTTGAAGATAATTGTAGATTATGTTATTAGGAGGGGAAGTAAGTCTTTTTGACTAAAGCCAATATAAATGACGGGTTGCATATATGCAACTATTTTTACCATAATAGTTAAAAAAGCACTTTTAATTCTCTTAATATATTTTTTCCACTCCCACTTTACGCCCTTTATCGTACATGTTTCCATGACACTAAGCGACCTTTTAAATACATATTGACAAGTTGTGGCTTTACGGCGCTTTAGTCACGGGCTGAAGTTAGCAATAGGTTTTTAGGCACGGGCTGAAATTAGTTTTAAGTTAGTTGACTGTTGTCAAATGTCATACAATCGTTAAAATAAAGTGCCTTTCTTGTAAAATAATACTAAATGTGAAAATTATTTTATTATCTCAATACAAAAATACAAAAATATTAAATAGTTTCTCAACCCCAATATTTGAAAAGTTTATATGAACATTGTACTGACCTTTTAATTTCGCCGGCAGTAAACTATAACTTAAATTCGGGCATGGACTCTACTGTAAAGTCCTCATAAAACATTTCCTTTACTTTTACTGTGAAAAACTGTCAAGTTTCAATATACATTTCGATTTATAACCTTTATAATTGTGTTTATAAAATGTAAAAATGTGACATTTGACATTTTCCCCTGTTGTTTCATAGATGGCGCTCTATACAAATTTTTGATTTAAATCATTTTAAGATAATAATAAGTATTTGTCGTAGAAAAAGTATAGTATGAACCTCGTTTATAAACTTTTCTATACACTCATTAATTTAATAACTCGCTCGCAAGCTCGCTCGTGCCTAAATTAAATTCGTGTATAAAATGGCGTTTATCAAACATATACATATATATACATAATATACTATTTTCTACTCCCACCTTTAAAACGCCCTTTATCGTACATGTTTCCATGACACTAAGTAACCTTTTAAATACACATTGACAAGTTGTGGCTTTATGGCGCTTTAGTCACGGGCTGAAGTTGTCAAATGTCATACAATAGTTAAAATAAAGTGCCTTTTTTGTAAAATAATACTAAATGTGAAAATTATTTTATTATCTCAATACAAAAATACAAAAGTATTAAATAGTTTCTTAACGCCAATATTTGAGAAGTTTATATGAACATTGTACTGACCTTTTAATTTCTCCGGCAGTAAACTATAACTTAAATTCGGGCACAGACTCCACTGTAAAGTGCTCATAAAGCATTTTCTTTACTTTCACTGTGAAAAACTGTCAATTTTCAAGAAATACATTTCGATATATAATCTTTATAATATGTGTTTATATAAATTTGACATTTGACCGTCAAATTTTGACAGTGTTATACAGATTCCCCTATTGTTTCATAGATGACGCTCTATATAAATTTTTGATTTAAATCATTTTAAGATAATAATAAGTATTTGTCGTAGAAAAAGTATAGTATGCACCTCGTTTATAAACTTTTCTATACACTCATTAATTTAAGCACTCGCTCGCAAGCTCGCTCGTGCCTAAATTAAATTCGTGTACTAATATATTTGAACATAATATAATATTAATATTATTATCCTCTATAGAGGATAATAATTTAATCTTATATTATGTTCGAATATAAAATATATAAAGAGAATTTAAAGTGCTTTTTTAACTATTATGGTAAAAATAGTAAAAAATTAAAAAAATTATATTTCACGAATATTTTAGTTTAAAACATTTATATTAAATTTTAGTAAATCATTTATAAGTGTTGTAAATAAATGTGTTAAAATATAGTTTTTTCTTCTGTTAAATAATATAATTTAAGGATAACTTTAATGGTAAATTTTATAAAAATAAATTACTCAAATTATTTCTAAACAAAAATTGAACATGTTTATATAAATCTAAAATAAATTCTTTCTTTTATACATATTTATACATATAGGTGTCCCTAAACTTAGTGGCATAAATTTAGGAGCAGAATAAGCAAGTCAAAATAAGACGAAAATCTAAATAAATATTTTTCCTAATCACGTATGTGGGGTGATAAAGTGTTACTTATATCAGTTTTTTTAATATAACTTCTACTATGGTAGACTTGGAAAGGTGATATTTTGCGAACAGTCACTGACTAGCCAAACACATATTCACACATAATTACAATTGTTTGAGTGACCACAGTTTCGTAGAAACAGGGGTTGCTTAAGCTTATTGTCCCATTTTACTCAGTTCGGCTACTATTAAAAAGGTGAACTTCTCAAACTTTGATAAATTAAACCGTTTCCGAGATATTCGAGATTACAATAATTGTTATATCGCATTAAAGGACTAAAAGGTATATAACAAATTTTTTAATTAAAAAAACTACCAAGTCCAGAGGCTAATGGAATGCCCTTTTTAGTTTTTTCAATTAAAAAATAAAATTTGTTATCATATACCTTTTAATCCTTAAATAATGCGATATAACAATTATTGTAATTTCGAATAGGTATTTCGAAAACGGTTAATTTTATCGAAGTTTGAGAGGTACACCTTTTTAATTGTAGCCGAACTGTGTAATCGAAAAAATGCATCAAATGTTACAAAAACCTAACCACAAAGTTTTTATGGGACAATAAGCTTAAAGCAACCCCCGTTTCTACGACACTGTGTTTACTCAAACAATTGTAATTATGTGTGAATATGTGTTTCGGTAGTAAGTGACTGTTCGCAAAATATCACCTTTCCAAGACTACCATAGTAGAAGTTTTATTAAAAAAACTGATATGATAAATAACACTTTATCACCCTGTATCTTGGAAACATAAGTAATTAGGAAAAATATTTATTTAGGTTTTTGTCTTATTTTTACTTGCTCAATCCTTTCCTAAATTTATGCCAATAAATTTAAGAAATGTTTTATTTTATTTTTGTAATAATTATTATTATCATTACTATTACATATTACATGCCCATTTTTTAATTTTGTAAAAAAGTATTGAAGATAAAAAAGAGTAAACGGTGTACCTTAAAATAGCACGGTTCATGAATAGAAAACATTTGGTTTGCTAGTAACGCCAAGTAAATAATCTTGGAAGACCACCTGTTAGCCGTATTTACAAAACAAAGTGTTCACGCCAGAAAATTCAACATCGACATCGAAAAACGTCAAACTTACATAGAAAATAGTTCGGATAGTCCACAATATGTTTTAATGAAAAGTTCGTTGCAATCCGTTTTAGCCGGTTTTTGTCAGTCACGTATTGTCTTGTGATGGAACGCTGAAGCTTTCAGTCGGAGAGCTTTTCTAAAACTGGCTCGTCAGTTTACTCTACCCCTCATGTCGGTGCTTAGCAACAGAACCACGCCCACTGGAAAAGATCTGGAAATCTACGCCGGCAGGTGCTGGATGCTGCCACCACTGCGTCTCCTACTGCTGCTGCTGCCGCCACTGCTGCTGCGACTGCTGCTTTTGATGTTACTGCACTGGCCTAACCAGGATTTAGGCTACACATATAGGACCAAATAAAAGTATTATTTTTGCAGCGAATTTAAATTTGCCCACAATTTATAACTACTACCTTTAATAAAAGTCTTACACACTGCATTGTTTGATTTGAAAATTTTCAGTTTTACTTTTATATTGGTTATGGAATACCAGACATTTCAAACTGAAAATGGGAAATAAAACCATAAACAAAGTGTCCCAGAAGTCGCGGGACCATCTTAAAAGTGTTTTATCTAAAGACCCCCAGGAATCCAAGAAAATTATTTAAAAATTTGTTAAAAATGCATGCTAATAAAGTGGTAGTTTGAAATACACAACAATATTAACAGGTGTCAAAATAAATTACTTTAAGTTGGAGGTTATTTATTTTACGTCAGACTGGACAAGCAAATGGAAAGGAGTACCTGACAGGAACTAATAAAACCATAGATTAAAATTATTTAATTATTTAATTAATATATGAAGAAAAAATAAACATAATATATGTATTTCATTAAAACATAAACTCCAAGGGACTATATCTGAAAAACTGCTCCACTATTATATTTTTTGACGGTATTTTCGTATTCATGGGACAATTTTACATAAGAATTGGATGTTAAATTTTGGGATACCATGGTATTCTATGGTAAACCATGGTACAAGTGAAAAAGCAGCCACTAATAACTAATAAATTAGTCATTTTTGACTAATTCATTTTTAGAGAATATATAATATAAAATGATATTATCATTTTATAAGCATTATACAACATACGAAGTGTGTTCAGAAAATATCGGGAATTTTCGTTTTTTGAAACAAATATTTATTTATTCGTCTACATTAATGTTGTCGCCTTCAAAATAGTCCCCATTGAATATTATGCACATGTGCCAGCTCTTCTTCCAATACTCGAAACACTTCTAAAACTCAATCTTTGGGATAGCCTTTAGTTCTTTCAGCGATGCGCTTTTAATGTCATCTATGCTTGCAAAACGACGGCCCTTTATGGTTCTCTTTATCTTTGGGAATAGGAAAAAGTCAGACAGAGGCATGTCTGGCGAATATGGAGGCTGGGGCATCATTACAGTATTGTTTTTGGCCAATAATTTTGATCAAAATTTAACAATTTTGGAACAAATTTTGCTTCCACGCGTTTCATACCCAAAACATTTGAAAAATTTCATGGGATGAGCCAATCGATATACCAACATCATCAGCGACTTTTTTGATGGTTTATAACCATTTCTTCCACTTTTCCATGTTTTTATCGGTTGTTAATGTGCTTGTGCGTTCGGGGCGTTCGTCATCTTCAACGTCTTCACGGCCATCTTGGAAACTCTTAAACCACTTGTAAACTCTTGTTTTACTTATAGCAGACTCACTATAGGCCTTTGTTAACATTTCACAGAATTTATTTCATTTTTTAAGCAAAATTGGATACAAATTCTCTTTGAACCATTTCTTTTAGCGAACGAAAATCGCTGAGCTTATAAAACACATCTAACCTTAGCGGCTGCCACAGATAAAGTAAACAATGAAAACAGCTAAAGTTTTTATCATACTTCGGGGGCATGTATACCAACATAATAAATAAAATTTTATGACAACCGGACCCTCCGAACCCGCGAAATTTAACAATTCCCGTTATTTTCTGAACACACCTCGTACATATCACTATACTCACTAAAGGACTACATTTTAATATTTAACGGAAACATCAATCAAACAAAATAATTGTAAATAATAATTGAACTTTTTTCATAATCAATATGGAAAAAGTTTACGACACTGTCTTAGATTTTCCTTAAATTTTGTGTATATGATTTTTAGGCTAAGGTAAGTACAAATCTAAAATTTACAGGTTCTAACAAAACTAATTACCAATAAATTATTTATTGTAATTTTTAAATTTGCCGCATTTTTTATATCTGTTTAGCGTACCTAGCGTCACCTTTTATTTTTGACATCTGTCAACTGTCATTTTTTACATGTGTCACCTGGCGTTTTCAGTCATATTAAAGTTAAATCTTGTTTTTCTTAGCTTTTAGGCAAAAAGCCAAGATTAAACTTTTTCTGAAAGTAGTGTCTTTAAAAAATAAAAATTTAAAATATGTTGTCTTGACCCAGTTCTTGATTTTTTTTGCAAATGTAATGTTTATGCAAACATAAATTCTTATTATATTTTTAAAATCGGATAAACAGTAACCCCTAGAAACACATTTTCACTTTAATAACTTAGTTATTATGCATACGGGCATGACATTAGTCGCTATGAGAAAATGTTGAAAAAATTCTATGTTTTAGTATAGTCTACTTAAAAGACATTTACGAAGTTTTAGAAAAATTAAACGTCTGGTTCCCGAGTAAAAATTTTGTTATCGTTTATTATTACTAAACTGTGCTGTGAGTTAACAAAAATGTATATGCCAATTCTACAGGTACAAGTAAACATTTGTTTCTAGGGTTTACTTTTTATCCGATTTTAAAAGTTCATTAACAACACGTGATTATCTTGGTATATTTGGTTTAATTTATTTGGTGACTTCCATAACTTTGTTTTAAAAGTAAATTATTAAAAAAACACCATTATAGCTATTGTTACTTATTTTAAGTTATTTTTTAAAATATTAGTTAATGATTTTCTTATTTTTGTTTTCTGCTTTTCTCTTAAGATTTAGCGTTGTTGCTTTATTTTTGGATCCCATACCTTTTTTAAAATATTTTTTCTTTGTAGTGGACTGCATTAATTTCACAAAACAATTCGTTTTTACAACTCATTTTTGGATTTTAAATAACATGGCATGTACGAGGTGTGTTCAGAAAATATACAATTTCGTTTTTTGAAACAAATATTTATTTATTCGTCTACATTGGATATTATGCACATGTGCCAGCTCTTCTTCCAATACTGGAAACACTTCTAAAACTCGATCTTTGGGATAGCCTTTAGTTCTTTCAGCGATGCGCTTTTAATGTCATCTATGCTTGCAAAACGACGGCCCTTTAAGGTTCTCTTTATTTTTGGGAATAGGAAAAAGTCTGGCGAATATGGAGGCTGGGGCATCATTACAGTATTGTTTTTGGCCAAAAATGTTGTTCAAAATTTAACAATTTTAAAACAAATTTTGCTGCCACGCGTTTTATACCCAAAACATTCGAAAAAATTTCATGGGATAAGCCAATCGATATACCAACATCATCAGCGACTTCTCTGATGGTTTATAACCATTTCTTCCACTTTTCTATGTTTTTATCGGTTGTTAATGCGCTTGTGCGTTCGGGACGTTCGTCATCTTTAACGTCTTCACGGCCATCTTGAAAACTCTTATACCACTTGTAAACTCTTGTTTTACTTATAGCAGACTCACTATATGCCTTTGTTAACATTTCAAAGAATTTATTTCATTTTTTTAAGACAAATTGGATACAAATTCTTTGATCCATTTCTTTTAACGAACGAAAAATCGCCGAGCCCATAAAACACGTCTAACCTTAGCGGCTGCCACAGACAAAGTAAACAATAAAAACAGCTAAAGTTTTTATCATACTTCGGGGACATATATACCAACATAATAAAGAAAACTTTATGACAACCGGACCCTCCGAACCCGCGAAATTTAACAATTCCCGTTATTTTCTTAACACACCTCGTAGAAATGCCACTGCTAACATAGAAACCAACTATTAGCAATGTTGTCGCGTAAATTCTACGTTTTACGTTTATTAATTCACGTTGTTTTGTTTTAATATTTATGTATATAGTGCCTTTTGTATTAAATTAAAAAATAATTACAAAATCAGTTAGAAAATTGTCTATTTTTTAAATCAAATGTAATAAATAAAATGACAAGTTGGTACCTTTAGCTATTAATGCAATATAAAAGCAACCTTTTTAAGAAATAAAGATAAAAATGATGCATCTTGCAGGAAATTAAAAAACTAAAATAATTGATTTTTCGGTTATTTATTAATAATAAATTATTATCGTAGAACCTTCAAAATTGAGATTGGTGTAACCACCAGCCGTAGGTATCTAATTTTAAATTTTAATTGTCAGTTTTTGTCTCTGAGATGATGTCAATGGATAAAAATCAATTAACCACTTAATTGTTTTAAAAATAATTTTGTTCTCATTAAGTTGCCATTATTGTTAAATTAAAAATCCTTAAATGCATTATCTCATAAGATGAAACATAAATAATTATTCGTAAGTAATAATATTATCATAAGGGCATCTAATTTTTCCGAAAAAAATCGAAAAAACACGTTGCTAAGTAATATTTTAACAATAAGCGTGTGTGCTGGTGGCAACAAAAATCTGAGTTAAAGACGAGAATTTTTGCACCTTCACAAATGCATTTTGTTAAAAAATACTACTTAGCATTGTGTTTTTTCGATTTTTTTTCACAGGACTATTTCATGGGTAACACTTAACAATTAAAATATAAATTGCAATTTTTAGTGACAAACGCTGACAGGTGCTGTCATACAGTTTTTCCACCTAGAAACCATTTGTAATTCAAAATTGCGCGCTTGTGATTGGTGGATATTAAGACGAGGGAAATAGTCCTAATAAAACCAATGTCTAAACATTATGTACATTAGGCCGAGTCTTAATAAGTCTTAAACAAGGTAACCAACCCTATTAATTTTAAATTTAAAAAATCTATGTATACGTTTTCATTTCTTTTTAAATAATTAAGGTACACCATTAAGATAGTGCGGGACTTTTGGGACACCCTGTATGATAGGCCAAGTTTTAAATATTAGACTGACTATTGTAAGGGGACATCCATTAATTACGTGAGGAATTTTTCTGATAATTTGAACCCAAAAGTTGACGTTAGATTTTAAATGACCCCCCTCCCTTTATATGAGATTTTGAGAGATTTTGCTAGACCCCTCCCCC